GTCCTCAATCTGATCCTCAAAATCATTATTTTTGTCCGATTTTGGAGACAACGACAACTCATTGGCCATAAAATAATCATCAAAATCATAGGTAAAGTCATAAACCCTGGACATGGCTGACCACAAGAACCGGAAGCGAACGTAAACTAATTCCTTGTTATTCTTCGTGAGATATCCCCTGAACTTAATCCGTTTTCGTCTGAACGGAGAGTTAACCTCTAATCCCAGTCCACAAACTCTGTATTCATTTGACCGATACTCCACCTCCGAGTCCTCCTCTAATGTATAGCTATTATTGTTGTTGTCATCAAATCTTAAACTAATTTTTGCATTCATTTGATTGTCCACTCCTTTTGGTCTCCATTTGATTGCTATATAAATGCTTTGTTTCGATGAATTTACGCCATAAATCAATAAATCCTCGCTTTTATCCTATTTATTCAAATACAGTATACTATGTATCATACAGTACTACAGTAATATTATATTTGGTTTAATAATACAGTAATGTTAAAAGGTTAGTATTATTCCGATAAAGCAAAGCATTGATTTTCTAATCAATATAATCACAAGAATATTGTATACTTGTTTTGATTCATAATAGACTATACAGTAATATATTAGTTTAGAAGACATTTGTATAATGTTAATAAAATATTTGAATTATGTTAGACAAAATGCAATATATTTAAAAATATTGACAACAATTCACTTCAATTACCTTAGAGGGTGAATCATAGTGCCATTCATGAGGGAACGGTAGTACACCGGCGTCCCAAACGGTATCATTCCTTGGGTCGTGGGTCACGATTCTGTTGCTATTATACTGTCGTCTCCTCCATAATAATTGAATCAATTCTTTCAAATACATTATTGTATTTATTATTATGCAATAAATGAGTTTTTATCCACTTTTAATAATCCTTATTACAATGTTTAATTAATCAGTGTAAGGATTTTATATATACTGAATATAAGTCATACCCTTTCACATGGAATTGCACCAATGAAGTGTTTATAATGATAGACTAAACCAGTAAACACTTTACTTTATACAGTATTATTTATATTGAATTTTACAATAGTTATGATATCGTCCTTCACTATCAATTGAATTCCCTATCAAATGGTAGCATAAGAAAGCACTTATTACCATAACATTAGTACAACTTAATACTGTACTATTAAGTACATAATATTTTATCCTTAACATATATTTATTTCACAAACATTAGTGCACTAACTCGTAAGTTCCTAATGCACCAGAGTTTGATAAGTTGTCATTACGCAATGTTTTCTACAATTATCATAGTTTAGGACATTTAATCATTTTATGTACTAAATTTACTGACTCGTGAGACAAGTTTATGTTCATGGTCTTTTTCAATTGGTCTGGTCAATTAGTTCAATATTCATAATTTTGTAAAGTGGTTCAACATGATAACTGTTTTAATTATTTAGTACTTTAAACTTATTTATCAATTATTTTTAAATTATACATAATTATACGTAAATAAATTATTTTTAAAAGTACCGTATTTAACATACTTAACAAATAAATAACAAATATTTTATTTACGCATTTTAAACCTGACAGAAAATTATTTTAATTATAGTTATCGTAATTAATGTTATTTCTACAAAATTAAAAATAACAAAAATATTTATTCAATAGTTAAATAAAATATAAGCCTAAATGAACTGATATTTGAAGCAAAATAATCACCAAACTCATAACAAATGCTCATTAATAACCGGTTAACTTGATGGCGACTAGAACTACCGGCGCGTACCATATACTCTGACTCAGGATTAACCTGATCCAAATTGGTGACATGAACACAATGACCCCGGTCACCCTTTCCATCAGCACAGACTTGCGGTTCATAACCGGTTCACCAGTTTTCTGTTGACGGCTTTCGATCACATCTCTGGACGCCTTCTTCAGATCGTACGCCCATCCGATTTGCGCGAAGAAGTCGATGAAAGCCGTCGCGGGATTGAAGACATCGCCCCAACCAAACTCAGAGGCCGAGTAGTCCCTGAAAATACACAACCGGTTCCGTAATCTGATATCTTGACCTTGGTTATTGTTTTCAAACACTTACCAGGGGAAAGTGTGGTGATAATTATGGAAACCCTCGCCAAATAAATAATTCTTTATAGTTGTCTCCACCGGTACTATACTCTTATCGTATGGCTATTTCAAAGTAAGCAAGGTTTATTTTATTTTATACTAATAAACTAACTTATATTGCTAACATTACTTTACAATGTTATTGCATAATTAGTAAACAATAATTTTATTTTAACATTAGTATAACTTGTTTATAAATTTAACTAATAAACTAACCTTCATGCCCCACAAATGTGCTGCACTATTAACGCACCAGGTTATATTTAGCACGACAGCATACCTAAACATAACACAGCTAAACCAGGCATTCCATATGGTTTCTCCCCATAGATAATGTGGTAAATAGGTGGGCAGTACACCCCATATCAGAATAACCAACGGTATGTAAAAGGATCGCTGAAACTGAATGACCGGATCCTTATCCAAGTCACTCATGTTTATAGTCTTTCCCTTAGCCATCACTTCGGGGTGTTTTCGGCTTAACAACCAACCGATGTGTGAGAAAAAGAAACCATTTTTGGAGTTATGGGGGTCGGCGTCGGTGTCCGAGTACTTGTGGTGCACGCGATGGTCGCGACTCCACTCGTAGATGTCGTTCTCGAGCGCCAGGGTATCTAAAATCATTAACATTATCTGTAGGGGCAGTTTGGCCTTAAAGGTCCGGTGACACCATAGCCTGTGAGCGCCCACCTATTTGTATAAAATGTTAAATAATTGTCAAATTAATAGCTACAGAATTTGCTGTATTTATTAAAACACCTATATAGCTCAAACGAATCTAATTAAACATACCTGGATGCCAAACGAGCAACATAATGTTAAGAAGTATGTGAACAGAAATGTTTTCCAACTAACGGTGTAAATAGCCAGGAAAAAGCCATGAGTGGCCGATAAGTGCACGATTAGCATCAGGATAATATTTCTCCATACCCATTCGCGTTTGAATGGCTTTACATTATCAGCTTGATCATGTGCCTGGGCACTTTTTATTATTAAATCCTCATTTACTTTAGTGTCCTCGCTCGCCGTCCTAAATGCATTAATTATATTGAGTAAAATAATTAGTATTAAATTAAATGACTTGTATATCTTACATTTTTAAATATAAATTAATAAGTATTTTGTTTAAAATAAATAGGTGCTATTATATTTGAACACTAAATCTAATTTTCTAAATTTGTTAGCTATTTATAGGCCATAATTTTCAAAAACATGTTAACATTATAGTGGAAATAACCATAAATTATTATGTGTGGTTTATTATTTATTCAATTATTTAGTTAATATCCTGGTGAATCAGTTTGTTGATTGATAATCAACACGTAAATACAATTATAAGATTTTCAACAATTATAATTATAATTAATTAAATGCTGATCTTGTAAACAATTTTGACATTTATGACGTTAGTATCACATTTGCTCGATAGAAAAAATGCATTTAATTTAGTGAAATCTAATAATTTTCAATGTTATTTTTAATTGTCTCTAAATATAACTCTTGTTAAAAAGCAAAATGTAAATGTCGACACTTTTAATTTATTGGATTCACAAATTAATGTACACATTTGTATAGAATATAATTATTTGTAAGTTTGTGCTGGTATTTTAATGCAATTAAATAATATAAATGGCTAATTAAACATGTAATTTATTTGATTATTTGTTTAAAAATCATTAAAAGTCAAGTACTGTATATCAGATAATTGTTAATTTTGTTATATATTTATCATATGCTTATAACATTAAAAGACAACAAATGATAATAAGTGTTTTGCATAATATATAAGTTATTAAACTTTAAAAATAAATTAAGAATTGTTGAATTAAATAAAATTCATATCTAAAATAATATAATAATTTTAACATTTTAATAATAAATAAAATATTAAATGTAAAGATTTTAACACGAAGAGAACTTAAGTAAAAAAAGATACCTAAATATTTAGTTAGTTTTAAAAACTATAGATCAAAATAATTAAACACTTTTGTATTTTAATTTCATCTATAATTTCTGTTTTAAAGATTAGATTAAAATTAAATATTTTATTGAAAATGTGTTCAAAATATACCCAATATTTTTATGTTTGAAACTTTTTATCTATTTATTAAATTATACATTTTGAAGTTTATAAAATAAAATATTTATTACACCTTATCTTAATTATAAATTTTTAATTAATATAAATTCTTTTATATTTATAAAACTTTTCAATAATCAACGCATAATTTTATTAAAACAATTTAACATTTATTTGAAACATTACTATAGGAAACTTTAATCAACTTTTTTATTCAGTCTCTTTTGATTCTCTAAATATGTTTTCTTATAAAAGTCATAAAACATATAAAAGAAAAACAAAGGCTGAGGAAAAGCCACGTATAGCCAGAACACGGGATACCCTCTCTGGAAAAATATGAATATAAACGCATAGATACCCAGTATAATAAACTGAGCCAGTTGCATTTGGGTAATATAGCGCTTCCACCACAAGTACTTTTGAATCTCGGGTCCAAATGCAGCCAAAAAATAATAGGAATACATCACGAAATGTATGAATGTATTCATCATTGCAAACAGATAAAGGCCAGGTATGAATGGATTGATTTTCAACAGTAGCCACCCGAACACGGGCACCGACATGTGGTGATACAAATGGAGCAAGGTTACGTGCGAGAACTTCTTACGTAAACAGAAAAATAGTGTGTCCAACCAGTCCATCATTTTCGATACGAAGTACATATAACCTGAAAAATAATTATTAATTATATTAAATGCAATTATATTAGAAAATCTATTTATTTAACTATTATATTTTTGAAAATGTATTTGAGTTAAATTATTTTTAAATTAATTTTTATTTCAACTAGTATATCTTAAAGTAGAATTGTTTGAATACAAACCGAGTACAATAAACCGTCGCGTGTCTATTGATGATGTTTTGTCAGTGGGATAATCAAGTATAAAGAATATACGACCATAATCAATCATCTGTATCACCTCTGTAAATGCCCACAAGTTGGTTAGTGCCATATATGCATTATATATTAGCATGGTGCCTTTCAATTTATAAGGTTCCCTAGCACTCATATATTGTGGCAAAAATACATTAATTACTAAATAATATAAAGTGAGAAAGAGTATCATCCAAAGTGGTGTGTAGTTAATGAATGGTAAGTGTTTGGTCCGGGGATCCTGAATATCGATCCAATAATCGTAAATATAATAATTGACATTGGCAAACAAATTATCAAATGCAAATAATACTTCATCACTTAAAAGCATTTTTAAATAAATTAAATATCTATTAAAAATTTAATCTATCGAAATTTGGTAATAAATAGCTAACTGTTTTATTTATTAAAAGTTTAAAAAGTGTAAAATTACTTTATAAAACCTATTTTAAATATAAGACATGCCATTTATATGAGTAGTGAAAATGCTAGTTTAAACTTTAAAGAGCTAAATAATCCGGGTGTTATTTGATTATAGCCTTGTTTATTCAAATAGTACTAAAATAATTTCATCACTCAATCAAAGTGTTAATAGTTTTAATTATCTATAATTTCCAAGAATTAAACAATGATAATTTTGATTGATTATTATTTTTAAAACATTAATAATTTAATAGTGATGAGATTTAAGTAATCAATTACTGTAAAGTATACGTTAGAGGGCATGGTCATTTTGTACTTTAATTAGTACTGGTGTCATTTTATTTTTAATTACGGTAAATTACTTGATTCAGTTGACATTTACGTAAATTGTCTATTTAATTTCAATAAAAATTTACTACAGATTTTAATTTTACAATAAGTATTAACTCTTTTTATTATAACATTTTATTGAACTTTTAAAACAATTTAATACTTTAATGTTCAGTAATTTTAAAATAATTAATTTTAAATTTAATAACTGTTATTAATTAATCCTGTACACTGTGGCTCAAAATACAATAACTAAACTTAAATCTAACAAACATTACTTGAATTAAATGCTAAAAAATAATACTTTATATAAAACTCGCTGTAAATAAAGTCCATTCGCTGTTAACAACTGGTATTATCTGTAATATATTTATTCAAAAGAAACTACAATTAAAACTCATAACACATTGACTATTATATGGCACACAATCCACACACAAATATGTATTACATTTTTGTCTGATTAGTCTTATTCTTCTGAGTCTTTCCGGTCGTGGTTTTCATCTGAGTTGTAGTGGTCTTCACGGTTGTGGTGAACGTAATCCTAAGCACTCCGTTATGTATTGTCATGGCTTTCATTTCCTTGAAATATGTGGCGAAAAACGGCGACAAAAGTATGAGGAAAAGCCATTGTGTGATAGCACTGATCACATGCGGTATATATCCATCATCTTTAGCACTCCGTTATGTATTGTCATGGCTTTCATTTCCTTGAAATATGTGGCGAAAAACGGCGACAAAAGTATGAGGAAAAGCCATTGTGTGATAGCACTGATCACATGCGGTATATATCCATCATCTTTAGAGTCCCAGTTGAGTCTTTGCTTCACTTTGGTATTCTTGGTCACTGCGAATGCCCAGATGCCACACACCAGTGATATTATCAATGATATTAGCATTATGACCGAGATTATAACGCGAGCCTTGGCTACCAGTTTAGTGTTAATCTGAAAATATAATTCAAATTAAAGTCTTCGATACAGTATTTTACTTTAAAATTTCTAAAATTTATTAGATTTCTAGTAACTTATATAATAAATTAATTGTACCGTATTTATAAATTAATATTATATTTTAGATACTTATTATGAATAAGTTAAATTAACAGTTAATTTATTAATTTATTTAACGATGAAGGAATTTTAATTTATTTACACTTTCTCCTAGTTTATTATTGATTAAATAATGAATAATAACAAGCAGTGTTTGACTTACTTGTGGCGAAAGTCTTAATGAAAGCCAACTCTTAAGCGCAATGAACACCAGAATCGCAATGAATAGAGTGATGACAATAATTGGGTGAATGATTGGGAACTCATTGGACCGGAAGCTGACCACCGAAGTTAAGGCTAGTACTATATAAATGGCCACAAATAGTGACCATCGGTTGAATTTAATGATCTTTGATCTGTTCTTCATTATGGATGCCTTTAATTGAATCACTGTTTCACTCAATGTGTAGATTGTGTTGATTTGCAAGTATTGCAGATAAGACAGAACCGCGACTGTAAAAATTTAATTATTAATTAATTTTCCAGTTAATTAACTCTTAAAAGTATTTTTTAAAATATCTATCACGTACATAATAAAGCAATGATAAGGGTAGTTTGTGCAAACACTGCCGATTCAATGGCATTAATCCCGGTATCACTGGTGTATGGGAGGAATGGGGCCACATGTTCCTGATGTATGGCTATTAGGTAACTATAATTCAGTAAAAAATTAGTGAATTATTTGACACAAACTTTTTAAAAACTTAATAAAAAATTAAATTAAATTAAATCTTACGGCACTAAAACCAATAGAGGTATGAGAATAGCGATGACTACGGGATAGATATACAGACGAATGAAATTCATTTTTGGTTTAAATAGTAATTAAGAAAACCTTTTATGAGACTATTGTTTAAATATCTTAAACGACTCAACAGTTTGACAAAAACTTATTGAATGAATGGATTCTCTTTAGAAATGTTTATTTATTATGGGTTTTAATGCTTTTCAAAATATTCTTAAGCCGTGCCTTACAGTCATCCCTCAAAATAATATTCATTTCACTTTCATAATAAACTTATAAACTAAATCAAGTCATAAAACTGACATAGTTTAAAATATTTTCTAATACTTTATTTAATAATTGGTCAAAATATAAGCATGATAAATTTTACGAGAAAAGTACATTGTTAGAAATATTCTTATATAACTTGTGAGTACTGTATCGGAAAGTATTATTTTATGCATTCATTCATAGCATTCATATTTCATGACTTAATAGCCTTTTGAGTAAAAAAACAAGAATTGCATTATTTTAGGCGCACTCGAAGGCCAGGTATGGTGTCTAATGAATTATTAATAGAAATTGTGAGATAAATACGGGTGACTAATCCGTAAGCCATGATTTGTGTAAACAGATTAATATCTCACCAAAACAATAAAGGGATAAAATCTTATAAAAATACATTTTTAAAATAATTTTTGCTGTAATTAATGCGAAATACTTTTAATTTTGAAGATATTTAACACAAAGGGTTTATATTACTTAAAATAATGTATCATTAATAAAGGTTAATTGTATTAGAAAACTAGTTGTAATTAATTATATGGTATTCTAATGTGTTAACAGTTTTAATATTTAATAAGCCAGGTATTTAAATAAAATAATTAATGACTATTTGTAATGTAACATAACTTATGTTGTATAAATTTGTGATTTTTTGCCAAATATAGATAACAAAAATATATTTAAATGTGTTTTTAGTTTGTGTTTAAAAAACAAGTTTACGACTTAGTATTACATCATTTTTGTTACCAAAATAACTGTTTAACAAGAATTGAATGCAATTCTCATTCAACCTCCCTTTCCGTTCTCTCTCTCTCTCTCCCTCTCTCTCTCTCTCTCTCTCTCTCTCTCTCTCTCTCTCACACACACACACACACATCCAAAAAGCATTCAAACACTTAAAAATAATATAAGTTTTAAATACAGAATCTCTAACAGTGTGTATACTACACTGTACAGTATATTAAGTCGTAAAGTAAGTTATTATCATATATTTAATGCATTTCACAAACTTCTGTCAAAAATATTGCAAATAATTTGAATGAATGAGTCAATAATTATCTCATTCTTAATATGACATAAACATTGCAATCATGTTTGCAAAGTTTTATTCAATTAGCTATGGTTTGGAGAAAGATTTTTCTTAATATTCAACCAAAAAATTTATTATAGTCTTTGTCTCTAAAACTTTATACAATTATTTCTTTTTAAGGTATTTGACTAAATGATTATAATTAAATCTTTTTGTGATTTTTAGAGAGAGAGAGAGAGAGAGAGAGAGAGAGAGAGAGAGAGAGAACGGAAAGGGAGGTTGAATGAGAATTGCATTCAATTCTTGTTAAACAGTTATTTTGGTAACAAAAATGATGTAATACTAAGTCGTAAACTTGTTTTTTAAACACAAACTAAAAACACATTTAAATATATTTTTGTTATCTATATTTGGCAAAAAATCACAAATTTATACAACATAAGTTATGTTACATTACAAATAGTCATTAATTATTTTATTTAAATACCTGGCTTATTAAATATTAAAACTGTTAACACATTAGAATACCATATAATTAATTACAACTAGTTTTCTAATACAATTAACCTTTATTAATGATACATTATTTTAAGTAATATAAACCCTTTGTGTTAAATATCTTCAAAATTAAAAGTATTTCGCATTAATTACAGCAAAAATTATTTTAAAAATGTATTTTTATAAGATTTTATCCCTTTATTGTTTTGGTGAGATATTAATCTGTTTACACAAATCATGGCTTACGGATTAGTCACCCGTATTTATCTCACAATTTCTATTAATAATTCATTAGACACCATACCTGGCCTTCGAGTGCGCCTAAAATAATGCAATTCTTGTTTTTTTACTCAAAAGGCTATTAAGTCATGAAATATGAATGCTATGAATGAATGCATAAAATAATACTTTCCGATACAGTACTCACAAGTTATATAAGAATATTTCTAACAATGTACTTTTCTCGTAAAATTTATCATGCTTATATTTTGACCAATTATTAAATAAAGTATTAGAAAATATTTTAAACTATGTCAGTTTTATGACTTGATTTAGTTTATAAGTTTATTATGAAAGTGAAATGAATATTATTTTGAGGGATGACTGTAAGGCACGGCTTAAGAATATTTTGAAAAGCATTAAAACCCATAATAAATAAACATTTCTAAAGAGAATCCATTCATTCAATAAGTTTTTGTCAAACTGTTGAGTCGTTTAAGATATTTAAACAATAGTCTCATAAAAGGTTTTCTTAATTACTATTTAAACCAAAAATGAATTTCATTCGTCTGTATATCTATCCCGTAGTCATCGCTATTCTCATACCTCTATTGGTTTTAGTGCCGTAAGATTTAATTTAATTTAATTTTTTAAGTTTTTAAAAAGTTTGTGTCAAATAATTCACTAATTTTTTACTGAATTATAGTTACCTAATAGCCATACATCAGGAACATGTGGCCCCATTCCTCCCATACACCAGTGATACCGGGATTAATGCCATTGAATCGGCAGTGTTTGCACAAACTACCCTTATCATTGCTTTATTATGTACGTGATAGATATTTTTAAAAATACTTTTAAGAGTTAATTAACTGGAAAATTAATTAATAATTAAATTTTTATAACTTTAGTTGCGGTTCTGTCTTATCTTCAATACTTGCAAATCAACACAATCTACACATTGAGTGAAACAGTGATTCAATTAAAGGCGTCCATAATGAAGAACAGATCAAAGATCATTAAATTCAACCGATGGTCACTATTTGTGGCCATTTATATAGTACTGGCCTTAACTTCGGTGGTCAGCTTCCGGTCTAATGAGTTCCCAATCATTCACCCAATTATTGTCATCACTCTATTCATTGCGATTCTGGTGTTCATTGCGCTTAAGAGTTGGCTTTCATTAAGACTTTCGCCACAAGTAAGTCAAACACTGCTTATTATTATTCATTATTTAATCAATAATAAAATAGGAGAGAGTGTAAATAAATTAAAATTCCTCCATCGTTAAATAAATTAATAAATTAACTGTTAATTTAACTTATTCATAATAAGAATCTAAAATATAATAATAATTTATAAATACGGTACAATTAATTTATTATAGAAGTTACTAGAAATCTAATAAATTTTAGAAATTTAAAGTAAAATACTGTATTTAAGACTTTAATTTGAATTATATTTTCAGATTAACACTAAACTGGTAGCCAAGGCTCGCGTTATAATCTCGGTCATAATGCTGATATCATTCATAATATCACTGGTGTGTGGCATCTGGGCATTCGCAGTGACCAAGAATACCAAAGTGAAGCAAAGACTCAACTGGGACTCCAAAGATGATGGATATATACCGCATGTGATCAGTGCTATCACACAATGGCTTTTCCTCATACTTTTGTCGCCGTTTTTCGCCACATATTTCAAGGAAATGAAAGCCATGACAATACATAACGGAGTGC